TGTACAAAAACACAAAATGTAACCAATTTTATGTAAACTGGAGTTGATTTAACAGAATTATAAATTATTTGATGAATGAGGGATAATATTAATAAATTTATTTATATTATATTTATAATGTAAATAAAAAAATAGCCAATCAGTCAATAATTGGAAGCAATAATTCATTTGTTTTTTTTAGTCCAAGTTATATTTATATTAATGTACTGAATAAAAATCAAAGTAATTAACTAAAAACAATGAACAGAAATTATCAACATTTGAACTTTAATATCAATAGACAAAAAAATGTTTCATTTTTAACAAGCCAAAACAAACATGAAATACCAAATATAAATCTACTCATCTGCATGTAAATCTACTAGTTAATATTTTTGCATTATTATCTACAAATTACTTAAAGTTTCATAATTTGTCAGTAATTACAATATTAGGATGATAAATGTTATGCTGTTGTATGCCATGACAGCAATGTATTGCACAATATATTGCACTTCAGGTTACTACAATAATTCTCTTTGTATAAGTGTCTGCAGAAAAATTTGAGAAATTGTAACAAAATTATCTAATAGGATAATAAAGTGAATACATTTTAGAATATTCATTTTCTCAAATGATAAGTAGGACTGAAACATGTGTCTAGCAAATCAGATTTAAGATTTCATGGCATCAGAATATAAGAATGCAGACAGACTTATATAATAGAGTAAGTCATGTGATGTACAACTGTTTGGTTACTTGACAAATGTAGTTTTTTTTTTTAATACTATTATTATATGTTACTTGACAGAGAAAAAGAGAGACTGAAAGAGAGAGCAATTACTTATTAAACTATTTTGCAAGGAACATCATAAAACATACAAAGCACTAATAGAACCTACATCACATCATAAATGTCTTTATTTTCTTCACACAAATGTCTAGTCTTAAATATACACAAGAAATGATTAGAGATGAGAAACAAACTGATTGAATCCATTGTTAAATAATTATGCAAGTGTTTCCAATTGCATAATTTGCATATCAAGAAATTTGCATGTTTTGTCATATTTCATTGATTAAATTCTTGTGACTAGATTCCTTGATTTGTGCAGATATGTCAATAGAGATCTAAAAATTATTATATTTTCTTTTACCATATATCGCAACAATATGACAACTGACAAAATAAAGTAAAAATCTCATCCATTTCTGATATGCATATTAAAATCAGCAATTAACCATTTCAGATTTCAGTTTGATAATTCATGAACATTTTTGCTGAGAAAGGAAATGTGTTTATACTTATAATCAAACTGTTATACTAAAAATCAGTGACTATAGAGATGAACAAGCAAAAATAGGAAGAAAAATGGTTAACTAAAATTTAAGATGGATTTTGTTTAGAAAAAAAAAAAAAGGATTCTCAAAACCCCTCAGCTATTTTCATATTTTTGGAATTAATAGAAACTTTCTCAGTCAATAATAAATATAAATGGAGACAGATTTTTACAATAATTTCTCTTTAAAATTTCACTTTTAGAGAAAGTGGTCAATTTCATTGTTTTCTTTTAAAATATATACCTTAGGTATCACTGATTTTACAAGAATAAAAATGTAGCTTAAGGCATAAAATATTTGTTCAAGGTACTGTTAACTGCTATTAGGTCTGATGCAAAACATAAAAGTATCAAGTGGAATGTGAATATTTATATTCATACTGATAAAAAATGCAAAAAAAATAAAAAAAATAAAAAATAAAATAAAAATGTACCTTGAAATTTTTTAATAGTTTTGTCTTAATAGACAAAGTTATGAAACAATTTCAAGTTATACACAAAGTATGTTCCAAATATACACAAACATTTTTGGTTCCATTTTTTTACAACAAACATTCAAGCTTTATTGTATTATATAAGATATTAAACCAGTAAACCAAAAAACTAGATAAAAAAACAATTAAATATTTGGATGTATGCTATTTGGAAAGTCAATTCCATTATTTAGAAGAAAATACACATGGAATTTTTTATCTTCTGTAATGTACATGCATTATTGTTTTCTAATTTTAAATATCAACATTTGAAAACACACACATTATATATATATATATATATATATATATATATATAGTGGAAAATGTCATAGATATCCACATTAAAAGAAATAAGCACATTTTTTAAGAAAATATTTAGTATGATAACAATGCACTTTTTAATTTTCTACGGATTCAAATTTTCTCTCTGTAAGTATTATCATCATCATCATCAGCAGCAGCAGTCCTCTAATCAAGAGTATTTGTAGGGTTATTGCACAGCTGAGTACCTGACCAGTTCCCCATCAAAACATATCTGGGTTGAAGGCTGGAATGGTTTTCAGTCATGTGTAGCATGTCTTGGGCAAGTAGGCCTGACAAAGCCTATCCCTCTCTACATCAAATCACAACCAATGTCCAACAACTTGATCCTTCAAGTTAGTCAAAGACGTGGGTCTGTTGATTCCATCAAGGGAACACTCCATCTTGGCTTCAGTCTGGGAAGCCCACCACTCAGCAATACCGCACTTCACTGCACTGACTGAATACATAGCTATGGAGTCCTGTCTACCCCATTGTGCTAGATGGCGATTAACCACGAAGTTTCATTATAGATTTTTGCACATTGAGAATAAGGTTACAAGTTAAAACATTTTATGCTAATTTATTAATGTGAATACTAAAAGTTGGGATCTACAGTTTAATGTTTTCTTAGTGTATGACACTATAACTGTATAGGTAATTTTTATGTTTAAAGGTTGAAGATGAAACCCAACTTTAATTAAGATAGTAAAATTTATTATGAGAAGATAACAAAACTCATACAAAAAAGTACAATATTTACGACTATTGTAGGTAGTATAATTTTTAATAGTATATAAGATGTATACTGGTTTTTAAAAAAAATGTTTTTAAAAAAAGAAGTAAACAATTTACATAATTTGAAAAACATGAAATAAATGCTAATTTAACTCAATATTGGGGAAGTCAAAACCTAATGTGGATTGCTAAGCTTTTTGCTTAATCAAAAAGCTGGCCAGTAGAGATTGCTTACACAACTTTCAGCTGACAGCAGGCTAAGTAAGAGTCATTTAAGGGCTTGGTGTATCATTGAGGTTAAACAATAGCGGAAAAGGAAGAGAGGTAAAAAGTTTCATAAGATCAGTACAAATCCAAATTAAGGACTGCTAAAAATCATAACTGAAGAGAGGGCTGACAAAATAAAAAAAAAAAAAAAAGGTCAGGATTTAATTGAAATACTAGTTAGACAAATCTGGAACTGAAAGGAAGAAATGCTGACTGCTTTCATTGTTCCTCATGAAGACTACCTTCAATTATCTCTCATGCTAGTACGTAAACCTTAGGCAGAATAATGGATGGCCAGATCTACAGCCAATCTTACCCAGAAAACAAATCAGAAGAAGGGTTAAACAAATAGTTGTAATTGAGCTAATATATTAATAAAGAAAAACTGATCAAGCGTCCTTTCCATGCTCAATATCGTCAATATTGTTGGTGACTTTTCTTTATGACTGGACTAGCTTAAATAAACAGGGTTTCAACCAACTTTGTTAATATCCCTTCTGTGGATCTTTGAACATGACATAGGCCTAAAAGGTGTTGGACTGAAACCTATCTGTATAAGTTTGTCACAAGTGTATCCTCATTTTAGGACAGAAGATATGATTTTAAATGATTATAAATTGGCCTTATGAGATTTAAAAAGAAAATAACTACAGCTGCTAAAGAAAGTATCTTACTGGAAAGTAACAGACATGATTATTTTTTAAAGATTTCTTTTTGTTCAGTCATCAAAAAGATTACTGCTCTGTCAAATGTTATTTTATTCTATAAAAATTGCATCTGAAGGGGTGCTGAAAAGTTTTCATCTAACCCATTTCCCAAAATCTGGATAAAATGACAGATTCTTTTTGAAAATGCATCTTGGTCAGGCTAAGTATCTTTCAGCACCAACATATATTATTATGGTACCTAATGCAAATTTGATTTTTTTTATGTTTCTTTAGAGAAACATAAAAAAAAAAAATCAAATTTGCAAGATTTGAAAGATGAAAGAGAAATTGATATCGCTCAAAGAAACTTCAAGTGTGGAAAAAAGCAATGTAGGTAACTTTAAAGTTATTAAAAAATATCACAACCCAAAGACTTTCACCAGTTCAAAGATTTTTTTTTAAATGAAAATAAAATCAAAAAAATTTGAATTGATATTCTGTAGTAGAGAATATTAAATGAAAGTAGAGATTTTAATTTAAAAAGTTTCTTTTAAAGAAAAATAATTTACTAAATTTACAAAACATTGATTAGCTGAATAACAGTATGTTCTGGTGAAAAAAAAAAGAAGAAAAAGAAAAAGAAAAAGAGATCTGACAATCAAAAAGTTTTGTATGATGTGAAATTTTCATGTCTGATTATCATTTCAGAATTATTGTAATTTTTTAATAAAAACCATAACTAATATTTATATAATGATGTAATATTGCAAAAATGATTTGTTCACACTTTTGATTTTTATATTTCAAAAGAACAGAAAATAAAAAATCAAATAACTATAACCATACTTATGATCAGTTTGCAGTTTAATGATTCTAAACAAAAAGTGAGGCACATGTATTCATTTTTAGTGTTTAAACAATTTGTAATTGGAAAAAGAAAAAGATTTTGAATATTTATGAAAAATACTTAATTTAACAAAATTATTTTCAACATATTTAGTACAAATGATACCTAAAATTGTTTTATTATCAAAAATGATAAAAAAAAAAGAATCAGAATCTCACTAAAACTAATTTCAAAATCATTTTTACAAAATGGTAACTGCCAAAACATTGACTTTTTTCTTTGACCCACTATATACACATCTCAATGTAAATATAAAATACTGACTCAATAAAATCATCTGACATTCCAAATTTTACAACCAATTTCTTTCATGCTTCCACTGTTTGATTTTGTCTTTAAAAGATTTTCATCTCAAAATATTTTCCATCAAATCAGCTGCATCAGGGTAAAGCACTTTATCAACAAACATATCAGAACCAGGAATGACAGGGATATTGTCAAATAATAACTGATGAAAACACAATGACACTGTAACTGGTTTATAGCCATGTTCATAACATCTCTTCAGGTAGGCATCATAGTAGCCTTTTCCTCGGCCAAGGCGAGCGCCGGCCATAGAAAAGGCCAGGCCAGGCATGATGATGAGGTCCAGTCCACCTGCAAGAAGGAAAAAAAAAATATTTAATAGCAAGGAGTGTTGTTGTTCTTTTGTATAATGATATGCACCAGTACCAACTTCAAAATAAATATCACTGCATTTAAAATTTAGCTAAAATAAAATAAATTTTGCCCAAAAGGAAGAAAAATTAAAAATGTGTATGGGTTAAGAATGAAAACACTTTTCCTTAAATAAAGATAAATTTAGAAATATAATTGTTTCCATTTTTTTCTATTGTAAAATATCTTTTATAACAAAAGGATTTAAAATCTGGGAGTAAAAAACAGGAAGAACTTGGAAATAAAATTTGTAATCTTCAAGGTTATACATGATAAACTCAAGTTTTTCAGATCAAAGTGAGTATTAATCTGTAGTGTCACATTAAGTAGTAATATACAAATTAACATTTATTCAAGAGAAATTGCTTTTGGTTTTCTTTTTTTTTTTTTTTTTTTTTTTTTTAACAGCGAGGTTCATTCTTTACAAGGCCCAGAGGTCACTCAAGGTAGAGGGTTATATTTTGAGGCCAATTGTGTGTGGAAGAGTTAATGGGTTAAGATTGTAGTGATTAAAAAACATCCTGGGCAGTGGTTTGCAGGAAGAAGCTGTTCGAGTGGAACTTGCTTCCCACTAATGAGATACAGAGAGAATGTGGTGGTGGTGGAGGGGGGCTTGCTACTATGTGTGTTCTTGCTGTGAGGTTTGCCTCAGCAGGACCAGAGAATGTAGTTCATCCAAGCACTTTCCATGGAAGTAGCAGTAGAGCAGCAAGAGGCTTGCCACATCCCACCTGTGGGAGAGGTGGAGAATAGTTTTGTCACCCACAAGGGCTTGGAAACGTTTTTGAACTCTATCAAGTGAGGTCTGGGCAGTTTTCGCCCAAATATGATAACAGTATTCCATTTTTGGCCTGATCTGGCTCTTGTAAAGAGAGGGGTCAAGTACTTACTGGAGCAATACAGGGAGCCATTTTACCTACATCCTTAGCAATGAATCATATGTAAAAGTTCCACTTGAGGTCAGGTGTAACAGTCTTTCAAGGCATGGTGTTTCCCTATGTTCATCCAGATTGGTGGTAGTTCAGAGTCAGATCAGTGATGATTGAATGTAACTAGCTTGCTCTTCAAAGTATTGAATATAACCAACCAGTTTTTACCCCATTGGGTAGTTTGTGCAAAATCAGAAGAGAGTTCAGTTGCCAATCTCTGACCATCAAGGGTTTTAGAGGTGTGCCCATATATAGTTGTATCATCGGCATAGATGTTCACAAATGATCTGAGTATATTTGAGGACACATGGCACAGTGGATAAAGGTGTTGGTTAGATCCAGTGACAGGACCCAAATAGTGTGAGTTCAATACCCAGTTAAGACAGTGGAGACCTTTCAGAGGGAAATTAACAGGACATAACTGATAAATGACATCCATTAAACATGGCAAGTCGAACTAGAACAGTCTACTCCAGTGAACGAAATAAAGGGTTCAGTTCGACATTCCAACAACCTGAAGAAGGCTGGAGTGTACAACGGCCAAAACGTTGTGATAAATATGGTGACAAAGATGAGGACAATAGTCTGAATAATGTAAATAATGTACATAATACCTCATCTCAGAAATGTAGACAGATACAGATCATTTATGTATGTCAAAAAGAGAGTTGATCCAAGGAGTCACCCCTGTGGGATACCTGCATTGAACTCTAGGGCTCCAGAGAACTGGTCATTGATAACTATCTTCAACGACCTACCTGTTAAGAAGGATTTTATGATAAGGAAGATCCTACCAGTTATTCCATAACTGGAGAGCTTGTGTAGTAAGCTTTTGTACCTTGTCAAAGGCTTTTCAGATATGCTATGGTCCTTGAGATGTGTTTATCATCAAGAGCCTCACTGATTCAGGTAGTTAGAACATCAGCAGTGGATCAGGCTAACCGAAACACATACTGCTCATCACTGAAGAGTTTGTTCTTTACAGCCTCAAAGAGCTTGCTGATGATACTGAGGAGACTGATGGGTCTGTACTGGGAGGGTGAAAATCACATGCCTGCATTCTTGAAAACTGAGCATATGCTTGACACTTTCAACAGGTTTGTGGAGGATTTCTTCATCAAGCAGTGGTTGAATAACTTTGCTAATTTTGGGAATAGTTCTGGGTTGATGTTCTTAAGGACAACCACCAAAATTTTGTCTGGCTTTCTTAGGGTCAAGGCTTTTGATAAGTGTAGAGACTTCATGTATTGTGATAGTAATATTACTTAGATTGTGCCCAGTGAGACATGGAAACTTGGGGAGGGGATAGTCTTTGTCATCTAATGTTGAAGTAGAGGCAAAAAGGTTCATCTTATCAGTTGAGTCAGAAGAGGCAGTCGATGAATTGGGTAAATCAAACATGAATTTGACATAACCTTAGATATTAATATCAATTCAGGTTTGAAATGGAAATGTTATTACATCACATGTCAATCTTCTAAGCAAAACGTTTTTCAATTATGGTGATTCTCTAAGCTTAGATGTGGCACCCAGTGAGGATCAAACTCACTATTCAGACAAAATTGATCTCGTGAGACAAGATTGCTAACCATCACACTATGTCAAGGTGCCCAACTTCAATTATGTGTTACTTCTAGAATACATATTCATCTTTGTGCTATAATAAACTACGATTGGTAAACAAAAGTTTTCATTTTTCTGTTCAGTATTCATTACTTCCTATGAATGATTTTACTGAAAGTAGAGAAAAAATATTTATGATCATTTTTTTTTTTTTTTACTTTATATGCAAATTTAAGAGTCAAAAAGTGCATCTTACAAGATGCTGCATTTTTAATATCTATTTATATTTTTTGCCCTGATATTTAAGGTGAAAATCTTTATCCAACTGCATTCATAGTTTATATTTGATAATAATACTTTATTTTCTCACTGCATTTATTAATCTATCAAATTTTAAAACTCATTTAGCAGAGGCTTGTAATTTTCACCTGTTTCCAAAGCATCTGAGCGAATGTCATCATCTCTTGGCTGTTTAATATTCCATTTGGTTAGTGGGAGGCTCTCATAATCTTCAAGTGATTGCAATGGCACCATCTTCATGCTTGGCCCACAGTAGTGTGGAATAAAACAAGTCTTCTTATTTGCCATCATGTACTTCAAAATCTGGTCTGTTTGTACTTCTTCAGGTGTACTCAAGTAAACAGAGATGCGTTTACTGGCTTGGAATTCTGGGAGGCTCAACAACTGAAAGAACAACAACAAATAGTTCAGACTAATAACAAAACTCTTTAAAGAGTATAAACAACTAAATTTGTGGCAGAAAACATTAAGATAGTTATAGTGTATTTTACGCTGTATTTAATTTTGAAATACCTATATTACTAATAAAAATAGATATGAGCTGAAATTCACAGTATATTTAACATATCCTGAAAATCTTACTATCATTTGTTGGTTAATACTAATTGTATCATGAGAAAAAATAAAATAAAATATATATATAAAAGAGAGAGAGACATACACAGGTTGCATCAGGTAATTGAGAATAAAATATAATAGAAAATATCAGCATATTTTTTTTTTAAATTATATAAACTTTAAAAATATTATTATCAGCCTTGAGAATAGCTTCAATCAAGTGATTCATATTTATGTTGGCCACAATGGCAGACTAGAATGATAGAGGATATCTTGAGTAGGCCTAGCATAAAAATAAATACAATATGGGGTTGTTAATAAACAAAGAAAGAGAAAAGAAATAACAGCAAGCCTTTATCAGCTACAGTAGAAAAATAAAGCCTTGGTGAATGCAGTTAAGTAGCAGCAATGTCAGCAGCAAGCAGATGCGATTTACGGCTCAAAATTCTTCAATCGGAATTGTCTCATTGGGGCAATAAGTCTAGAGGATTAATGTACTGGTTTGTGAATTTGGTGATGTTATTATTGTGGACTGGCTAGTGCAGACTTAAACTCAGTGGAAACAAGACAGGCAATAACTGAGCAATCTAAGAACTAGACAATATGTCACTGAGCATGGTCAGTTGGACTTGATTCAGTTAGAAATTCCTTGAGGAAACCTAGAGGGTACAATATCCAAAATGGTGTGATAACAACAACAAAGATTAGAACAATAGTGTAAATAATGATAATTTGTCATCCCACAGCAACTTTTAATAAGTCTTTGACATTTTGAAGACCACTTGTTGGTCCTCCTCCTCTTGCTGCCGTTGTTGTTGCCATAGTATTCCAGCAGATTAAAATCAGAAGTGTAGGAGGACACTTGTTTAAGATGATAGTTAAAATTCTTAGCTAGCCAATCCTGCTGGAGCATGTATGTAAAAAGTGGTTGCTGAAGACATTAGACATACCTAGAAATTCATACACAGATGTCCTCAAGGACACATGGCACAGTGAATAAAGGTGTTGGTTAGATCCAGTGACAGGACTCAAAGTGTGTAAGTTCAATACCTGGTTAAGGCAGTAGAGAACTTGAAGAGGGAAATTAACAGGAGATAACTGATATCCATTAAACATGGCACGTGGAACTAGAACAGTCTACCCCAGTGAGCGAAATAAAGGGTTCAGTTCGACATTCCAACCACTTGAAGAAGGCCATACAACTGCCAAAACGTAATAAATATGGCAACAAAGATGAGGACAATAGTTTGAATAGTATATATATCTTCTAAAGAAATAATGCATTTTTTATTTATTAATCCCACAGATTTTATCACTATACAAATATAAAAATATATGCTCTCTGGCAGCCTAAACACACATTTTTCTTTAACAAGATTTTTCAAATATTCAGGTTGATAGATGAAAATAAATAAATAAATAAATATACTGTTAAATGGAGCATCTACTCAAATACCAGTATCCACTAAAAATAACTTTTAAAGTGATATAATTATCTATATACACCTAATAATCTTAGAAATAGGCGTGACTTATGTTTAGAAGAAAAAATTAGAATAAAATACAATAATCAAAGCCAACTAATGAATCAAAGGAATGACTCAGAGTTAAAATGTCGACATAAAAACAAATTCAAATTTCCATAAATTAACTTAATTAACTACCATATTCCCATAATATTCACTCCCCTCTAACTCTTCAAATGTTGACAATATAACTAATTCTAATTTCTATATATTATCCCCCTTTCTAACCTCTTTACACTATATTATAATTTAAAAACTTTCCCCTACTTTAATATCTTCCCAATCTCATTCCATTAATCTCTTACATCCTTTTATCTAAATATATTTTAAATTTATTTTTAGACCCCATTTTACTCCTATTTTAAACTAATATTTCATTCTTCATATAACCCCAAATTAATGTCATAAGGTTAATATTTGGGTTTAATTTATAAAACATCTTGCCTTTTCCCCCTCCCTTGACCCCTCTCTTGTGCCTTTCTTCTGACTGAAACATTGAAATGGATATGTTCTGTATTAGTTTTTTGGAAGGTTGATTTTTTTTAGCTTTCACAGTTAAATTCTACTTCCTGCGACTAACCAGACAACCCCCCACCCTACCCCATCTGTACAGACACAAACTCAGTCCACACCAGGGTTGATAAGACAGACGACTGATATCTTCATCTGCCAAAATAGGCTATTCCCCATATTAGGTAATTTTGGATTTTGTTTATTAATTATATTGCTCTGTATTAATAAATACATTGAGCTCTTTTTGTGAATCAGTTTTAATATTTTATATTACTAGAATCCACTTGGACTATATACCAATGGATTTGTTACCTTTACTATATATAAAGGCAAGAAGAATTAGCTTGTTAATATGCTATCTTCATAGTAAGGAGAAACAAAATAGCAAATGATTCAAGTTAATATTTCTTCTTTTAATAAAAATTAAGTTCTGCCATTTTCTAATCTGATATTAAGATTTTTGCAATTTTTAAAAATTACGAATGTCATGAAAACCATTATGTAATTAAAAAAATGCATATGATGTTAGAAACACTGAAAATTTATTTTATAGCCATATACATGCAAGTGGAGATGACAACAGAAGATATGCAGTTTGTTTAACTGCAAGATTTTAAATTAGCAAAGAAAAAAATGACTATTCATCAGTCTTTCCTGATCTTTATAATCAAATGTCATCTAACATAAGCTAGTGCTATATGTTGGTTCACAAGAGGAGCAATGACAAGGCCACAAAACATTTCAGATGTTAGAATGTGTGACTTGTGTACAAAGGCAGAGAAATGAGTATATATTTAGAATTCTTATTGCCCAATACAAGTTATATGTCTTATATAACATCTATGCAAGTCATTATAGATCAAGTATAATATATTTATTTATAGAAATTTCATTTTTTATAGAAAAACATATTGCAAAATATATGTTATAAACATCTATATAGCATAAAGAGACCTTTCTTAAAATATTTATAAAAAGAAAAAAATAGAGTATATAACAAATCATCCCTTTTGTTGGCATGGTATCTCTCTGCCAACTTCTCTATCCATGTTTTGTATTTTTACAAAAGTTGGCAAATATTCATTGTTGAATGTTTAGTTATAAAGAAGAGAAAATAGTGATTACAAAATGACAGAAAAACATGTTTAAACATATTTAAAATAAATAAATAAAATAAAAACATACTGAATAAACACAGTGTGTTTAACATACTGTGTTTATTCAGTCAGGGTTACAAATGTTGAATTAATCTTTCTCCAATTCAGGTGATGTATCTTAAGCTACAGTCTGTCAGTTAACTTTCTATGACTGAAGAACTTGTAACAGCAAAGGAAAGCAGACAGGGGACAGAGCTTTCAAACTTTTAAACTTGGTCACAAAATTCTTAATAATTTCCACAATTCTTCAGTCAATAACTATGTCTTGCAGAGTAAGAGTCATCAGGAAGTATGTTGGAATGGTCAGCTGTTTGAACTGAGGTGATTATATTAAGTACCTATAGGAAGGTAACTAAAACCACCATTGATAAAAATGTCTCTTGGTGATTAACTGTAGATTTTATTTACTTGTAAAATCTACACCAGTCATAGTGCCATATCTAAGTGTGAAAATTGATATTTCGATATGAGTTTTGATTTCATAGAATGAACTTAATGGCAGTTATGTACGTCTATTAAATTTATATCAATTTCAAACTAATTACTAATAAAGCAACAGAATGAGTATTAATAAAGGTATTGTCCATTATTTACATTACTTGGACTATTGTCCTCATCTTTGTCGCCATATTTATTACAATGTTTTGGCTTTCGTACGCTCCGGCTTTCTTCAGGTTGTTGGAATGTCGAACTGAACCCTTTATTTTGCTCACTGGCATAGATTGTTCTAGTTCCACGTGCCATGTTTAATGGATGTCATTTATCAGTTATCTCCAGTTAATTTCCCTCTGAAAGTTCTCCACTGCCTTAACCAAGTATTGAACTTACACTCTTTGGGTCCTGTCACTGGTTCTAACTAACGCCTTTATCCACTGTGCCATATGTCCTCAAGTTAGATCCAGTGACAGGTCCTTGAGGACACATGGCACAGTGAATAAAGGCGTTAGTTAGATCCAGTGACAGGACCCAAAGAGTGTGAGTTCAATACCAGGTTAAGGCAGTGGAGAACTTTCAGAGGGAAAATTAACAGGAGATAACTGACATCCATTAAACATGTGTTGTAGAGTAGTTTTCATAGTGGAGGCTTGTATTTCACTAAGTCGGTCCTAAAAGGGTCCAACGTACAAAACGTTAGGAACTTGAAATAATAGTTAATGACGCAGCAATCTAGTTGTGGTGGTTGATACTTTAATGTCCGACATCGACTGACACACCAACTCCACTGAGCCCTCTGTCGACTGCTACTACTACTACTTATTATATCTGAAGAGTCTATTTACAATAGAATAGGTATGTTCTAGTATAACAACATGGCAAGTCAAACTAGAACAGTCTAAACGTTGTAATAAATATGGTGACAAAGATGAGGACAATAGTCCGAGTAATGTAAATAATGTACATAATACCTCATCTCAGAAATATATACAGATACTAAAGGTATTCTTTCTTTAAATGTTTTGCTCAGATATGATCTGAAAGTGCAGTCTTACCAAGTAACATCAAAGTGGCAAGATTTGAAGGTTGTTATTGAAATGGTATAAAGAAAACAATACCAGATGATTAAAAACTAAATACAAAGAAGAAAAACAATAATAATAGACTAAACAATATTAAAGATAGGCATGGCACATCAAAATAGTTTACTAATTATCAATCAAAATAAGCAAATGCAGCAAATTATCTAGAAACAAATACAAAAATTGATGGGACCAAGTAGGAAAAGTGATCCACTAGGAATTAGGCAAACAACTAGGATCTGACTGTGCAAACCAATAGACTAGATATTATCAAGAATAGAAAAATTTAAATCCTATGGAACTTTGAAATTCAAATATAACACCCAATTCAAGCAAGAACAAATTAAAAGGGAAAGTTAAACAGAGTGAGAAGATGGATAAATATTTGAATCTTGCCAAAGAACTGAAAAACAAATTTTTTAAAAATTGTAGAATATTATGATAGAAGATTTTTTATCAACATGCAGCTGTGAAGAGCAATCCATTTTTAAAAATGATGAATTGGAAATCTGAAAAAGAGTTGGAAGCTATCTGGATGACACTATTAACTAAAATATTAGAAAGAATGCTAGACTAAATAAGGATGCTTGGTGTCACTTAATATCTAGTAAGTGCCACCAGTTATGCATACAATATAGATATTGGATTTTATTGTGAAAGTTAATGTATTCAAAACAAAATTGGTATTAACAAAGCACTGTTGGTAAACTTTACAGGGTATATTTATATTTATCATAGTAATTGTATGAGTTTCAACTTATGTTTATCCTTTTTAAAAATATTGATAACTTTAGAAAAGCTTTTCAAGTAGCCCTTTATGAGATGGACCAGTTGGCTCCTTGTACATAGATAATGAAAGAAATCTTTGTAGAATTCATGAAGCATTTTTTGAAGCATCTGCATTACAAAAAAGAAAAACTAGTTCTCATTCAACTTGACAACTGTGTATCTTACATTGTCGGAGTAGATGAAGCAAAATCAGCATCAGGGATGAAGTGGAAGCAACCAAACAATTGGGAGTACACGGTTACAATCCCTTTGTAAAATCTACATGGAAATTTTAGAAGAAAATGTGATTGCAATTAATGGTTTATTTTTACATTTGCTGAAGTATTTTTATGCATTACAAAAGTCATTTTAAATTTCCTGCTGTATAGCATTTTGAAGATTACTTGTAATTACAAAAAAAAAAACAATAAAAACATCAAGAAACAATAAAGTGTAAATAAATGACAAATGTCAACAACTTAAAAAGCAACTAACAATGTTAGCAAGTAACACATTTTCTTTAAAAGACAAGATGAGTTTTTCCAAAGACTTGACACTTGAGTTTTAGTGATACAAAAGTTAATAAGCTCAATTTAAATTTGTCCTTGTGTCAGACTAAGTTTACAAATTATAATACATGCTTCAAAAATAATTTGTCGCAATGGAAAGTAAGGAAACAATTTCATTTTAAAAATTTATTATTAAACATTAGAAAAATAAAATAACAATATACCTAGTAAAAAATAAATTATAAATGCATGACATAAAGAAGGATTTTTTCAGATCCGCCTTTCATACATCCAACACTCTTTGGTAAATGTTGGTTTTGTTTCCCCAAGCACTAATATCCCTTAAAATTTTTCCAAAATCATCATAATTCCGTGCAAATGTACATGCTGAACTCAAATTAACAAGTAAATTATGAAGAAACCTTACTGTTTTGGAGTTATCGACAAGAAAAAAAATCGGACTTCTTGGTCATTCGTCCCCCATTACTGCCATCATGAATTCTCATTCACTGTGGGATACTTGCGCTTGCCTTTGGCCTATTTACTTCTTTTACAGACTTTCCTTGCAGAAAATCACTACTGTAAAGAAATGTAATTTTTTTTTGGTAAGTGTAGTTTTATTTATAACAAAAACAAATTAAATAAAACAACATAACTTTTTTTCCGTTTTGAATGGCAATGACAAATTAAGAGAACAAATTAAATAATAAAAATAAAGCATTTTTTATTTTGTAAAATTGAAAATAAAACAAAAATTAATGCACAAACTTAATGCACAAACAAAGTAGAAGGGTTGATTGTATTATTTCATTTTTTTTTAAATTTGTCCCCTTTTCTACACTGAAAGGAAACCCCTCCCCTAACCTTAACACCTAACCATAAAGTTCTTTAAAATTATTTAATGGTTTTTTGTTTTTTTTTATTTTGTCCCCTTTTCTACACAGAAATAAAAGGTGGGGTTTTCAGAGTAGAAAAGGGGACAAATTAAAAATAAAAAACATTAAATAATTTACCAAGTTTGTGCATTAAATTTTGTTTTATTTTCAATTTTAAAATATAAAAAATGTTTTATTTTTATTATTTAATTTGTTCTCTTAATTTGTCATTGCCATTCGAAACGGAAAAAAGGTTCCGTTGTATTATTTAATTTATAATAAATAAAACTACACTTACCAAAAAAAAAAAAATTACATTTCTTTACGGTAGTGCGTAGTGATTTTCTGCAAGGAAAGTCTGTAAAAGAAGTAAATAGGCCAAAGGCAAGCACAAGTATTCCGCTGCGAATGAGAATTCATGATGGCAGTAATGGGGGACGAATGACCAAGAAGAAGTCCGATTTTTTTTCTTGTCGATAACTCCAAAACAGTAAGCTTTCTTCATAATTTAATTGTTAATTCGAGTTCAGCATGCACATTTGCACGGAATTATAACGATTTTTTAAAAATTTGAAGGGATACTAGCGCTCGGGTGTTGAAATGAAAATTTACCTTTTTGAAAACTGCAAAAGTAAAATAAATAATTATTTCAATTTTACTACTAAACTTTTTAATCCGCCACAAAATTAGCTGTCTGTGCGTGTTCGTTCTACGACAGGTTGGCGATCTTGTTCAAAAGCAGGAAATATCGCTTCACTTCCTGACAAAAATAAACTAAGTATCTAATTTGTTATCCCAGGATTTGGCTGGATAGTTTTCAAAATAATATCAGCTGAAGCTCCAGGAATGGGGGCTATCCCTCCAGTAATGATCTACGGAAAGGGGCTGGGGTCAATACTCAGCGCCTGAGGCGTCCTCAAAAGGGGGAGTACCGAGAGGGCTTGAGCAATTTTTCCACGGTATTACCGTTAAACCAGCTTTAAAATTTAAATTGACCTTGTGTCACATTCGGTAGCGACGTGGGCGCATTGAAATATCCATATCCTAAGTTCCTAAACTTGCTTGTTTGAATCAATAATTAAAACTCTGGTCAATTGTGGGAAGAAATAATTTAGGAGACAAAAACTAATGTCTAAAAAAACTTTTTTTCACACGTAAGCTCGTTAGAAAAAATATTAGTACAACACCCAACAACTTATCAAAAAATCTGATAAGAAAAGTAAAGGTTGCTCATGTGCTTAATGCAAAAAGTAATAGAAGGAAATTAATCTTGAAAATTAAATAACTGAGAGAAGAAAAATAAAAAGAAAGGAGATAAAAAGCTATGTAAAAGAAAACAAAATAACAAACACCACGTTAAGGAGAAAGGGCTTTTTTTTTTAATTGAATATATTACGGAAAAAGAAATATATTCATGAACCAGCCGGCACTTATAGCTTACCTTTTTAGTTAATATATCCGACTGTAGATTTTTGTCGACGTCTGACAACAAAGACAATGTATTTTTGCATTTTTTACGCAATACTGCTTTCGCTGTTTGGATTGTTGTTGAAGCCATTTTAATTTTTTACGGGAAACTACTCTGTAAAAGAAATCGAGTAATCTCCGCTTACGTTGTTTCATTTATTTTGCCGAGGAGAGCTGGTGGAAGGTATATCGAAGTATAGTTTGGGTGGTAGGAGATACAATTTTTAGTGTGTAACCATATTTTACAGTTTATCATTATGCTTTATTTATGACTTTTAAACCCTACGTTCGTAGTGCTGATAAAAAAATTTTGTAAAAAAATAATACTTTTTCTTTAAAATCATAGCGAAAATAATGGTTATTTACGCAAGTGTCAAGGTATCGTCTCCAACTTTTAAAAACTGTGCATAAGAATATATTTTGTTATTCTGTTGGCTTTTATGAAACTTAATAGTATGAATAATTTTATTTTGCGGGGAGTATAAAAGAGAAATTAATTAAAAACCAGTTAAATCATACTTTTGAGTTTAATTCATGGCTTTTATTTTACTATTTTCTTACCTGTTTGGTGTCAAATATTTCATTGCACCCAATGAAGACCTCTTTTTAAATTATTCTGAATTTAAAATTAAACAAAAAGAAGTGCAAAAATATGGGAAAACTGATACTGTCACAGAATCAGTGAATTATTTTCTTTTTTAACTTCTGTATAAAGAATAAACAGTTGTAAAACTTAAAATAAAATAAAATTCTTTTAAAAAATATTCACTGAAAAATAGCATTAAGCATTACATTTTTTGATTTTTTGAACATGTCTTTATTTAATAAAATAAATATCTTGGTACGAATAACAACTGCATGACTTTCAAAAACATACTGAAAAATTACAAGTAAATCTTTAAAAATAAATATTGAATGTAGTTTTTTTTATCAAATGTGAAAAAAAATAATGCTTTAAGCATCAACTCTATAAAAAAAGATGTTTTTTAATTTTATTGAATTACTTATGATAAGGTTTGGGACAAATTTTCAGTATGGTTACAATTGATATTGCATATTTTTTTTTTTTTTTTTTTTTTTTTTTTACTGAAATGAGATCTTCAGGGATTATTTTTTATATAAAGTGTAACCCGGATATAAGAGATTTTCTCTGGTCCCAAATTAGAGCCTGTGTTAATGTATATAAAATAGACCAAACCCGGATATAAGAGACTTTCTCTCCGGTGCCGACAACTCTCTTATATTCGGGTTACAAAACCTTTATGAACACCTTCCCGAATTTATAAGTACTCCCAATATATTGAAATGGAGGAGAGGGAGACGTGAAACTACCCAACTTCAATATTTTCACAAAATTTTCTAAAATATTGACCTATTCTGCATAAAATCCACTCATTAATGAACAAGTACTGAAAATTTCATTTAAATTGGCTTTTTCTTTCATTATCGAAAATGTGCATACATTCGTCACACTATGAAATATTTCTCCTGCCATTACTACTTCCATTGCTATATTGCCTTCCACTGGCTCTTCATGAGAATTGCCGTAAATAATACGCATTTTTTTTTTTTTTTTTTTTTTACTGTAAATTACAAGTGATAGTAGGGGTGTGTATTATAAATAGGTTTTAAACAAAAATATTTTTTCGTTATTGAGTTATAATAAATACATACTTGTTGTTCTAAAATAAGAAAGATATTATCCCAATTTTCATTTTAAATCCAACAATAATAATTGTAACATTTTTTTGTCAATAAATTTGTTTATCAGTAACCCAACTGCATCTTTTATTTGTTGAAAAAAAAAAATAAATAAAACGCTTAAATTTGCTTTTTAATGCCCGCACTAAATATCTCTTAAAATTTTCCCAAATGTTCCATGTAAATGTACATGCTGAACTCGAATTAATAATTAAATTGTGAAGAAACCTACTATTTTGGAGTTATCGACAAGAAAAAATTGAACTTCTTGTTTGTAATTCATCCTCCATTACAGGCATTGTTTTAATACATTATGTCCAAAAAACCCCTCCTAACAATAAATAACACTTAAAACCCTAAACTTAACACTTTTTAAAGAGCATGATTATATATGAAATAAAATTACAAAAAATGCTAGAAACAAAATAAGGGTTTATTGTATTATGTAATTTTTTTTTTTTTTCAATTTGTCCATTTTTAATTTAAACAAAAAAAGCTTTATTGCATTATTTAATTTGTTCTTTTAATTTGTCATTGCTATTCTACATGGAAAAAGGTTCTATTGTATTATTTAATTTGTTTTTGTTATAAATAAATCTACACTTACCAAAAGAAAAAAAAAAAGAAAATTACATTCCTTTACGGTAGTGCGCAGTGATTTTCTGCAATGAAAGTCTGTAAAAGAAGTAAAGAGGCCAAAATTTTTCTTACGCCAGCGGAAGTACTCAGCATTGAATTATTGAACATTATGGCAGTAATAGGGGATGAATGACCAACAAGAAGTTCAATTTTTTTCTTGTCAATAACTCCAAAATGGTAGGTTGCTTCCTAATGTAATTGTTAATTCGAGTTCACCATGTACATTTACAAGGAAATATGACGATTTTGGAAAATTTCAAGAGATATTTAGCGCGGGCGCTAAAAAGCAAATTTACCCAATTTCGAAGAAAAGAAGATATCAAGTTGACAATTTATTAAAATTTTAATTTTTATCATCATCATAATCATCACCATTTTCTAATATCTAAATTGTCATTAAACAAATTATTCACAATATTATCTTCATCCTGTTCAAAATTATCTTCGGCCTCTTCATTCTCTTGCCAAATGTCATCTTCAGAGCCATCCATGGCTGTAGTGAGACAACACTTCTTGAAACCTCCCTTTATAACATACTTGCTGATGGTATCCCAAGATTTCTGAATCCATTTTAAGTTACAACTCTGTTGTTTTTTTTTTTGTTTTTTTTCAGGTTGCCACCAGCAGTAAAACATTATTTTAGCTGCTTAGTTTTGATTTTATCCATAATCTCAAGGTCAACAAAATAATTTGTAATTATTATTTTTTTTTTTTTTTTTTTTTTTTTTACAAAATTTACATAGGGATATATATCTTAAGTTTTGGATCATTTGTTAGGGTGCGTATTATTTTTGAGAAATTATGGTAGTCTAAACACTAGCAAATGAGACTACCAACAGTACGTTAGTTACTCCCCTTGACTACTACCACAAATAAGATTCTTGTCAGTATATTATCTTCCATTAGTTTACTTCATTTTACAAGGGTTAATGACCTACTTTTTCCCTACACACATGATCAGACATGTCTGACTTCATAGTCTCTCCACAGACTAGTTACTAAGGCTGTGAGAACATTGAAAAGCAGTAACTTTATATTTGCTATAACTGCATGGAATACTATATACACAATTCTTGGTCATATTTTCAACTGATAGAGAATTGTCAGGTATCTCTGAAATATAGGAATACTTTTGAATACTGTCCTAATGTTGTATGAACTGCATATCTTCTGAATCTTTTCTAACACAAACTGAATATCTCAGTCCATTTTGATGAAATTGCTTCATATGGATAGAAATGTTTGTTGATGACCTCTTGTGATTTCAAATTACTCTTGAGGTCAACCTCACCTATCCTAACATTTGAAGTTTATAGTAATTCATGCAAAAAATAAAAATATGAAAATAAGATAAAAATTCACTGGCCAGAATGTTCAAACATGCAAACACACTTTGGCATAGTAATGTAAATGTAACATCTATTTTGGTTCCAATAAATAAATTCTTTGATGTTTTTTTTTTATTTTTTATTATTTTATAAAAATCTGTATACTGTGTTTCCATTTTACATAAGGAGCTGATTTCAAAAGAGTATAAATAAAAATGATACAAAAATGGTTTACAAAACATATTCTTTAATCTTCTGTTCATTATTTAGAATTAAATAAATATTTTAAGTATTTTTAAAGAATATTAATTTATCAAGTCCTAATTTTTCTTAAAATTTAAAATTAATACATAAAAAATAAAATGTAAAGTATTGGTGAACATTATTTCAAATATGCAAACTTTTTCTCTTGATATTATTGGCTTAGGAATCAATCCATCTTGGCATAAAACTATTCATAATCATAATGATCATAAAATTATTCTATCACATTTTTATCACAAATGTTACATTTAATTCATTTTTGGTTATATATGTTGATAATTCTCGGTTGTAACACACTTATGCTCAATGAAACTTTCAATTTTGTGGTTAGTTTCCAAATAGATTCATACATTTATGAAGGTCAATGTTGCTATAAAACTCATTTCCCTCTTCAATGAAAAGTTCTGACTGGCCAACATCACAAAATCTGACCAAGCATAAGAATTTTTCAAGAATTTCTTCCTTGGCCTGAGAACTATTCTGCACACCCTGTTTTGACTTAATCTTGTCTTCCTATTTTACAAATAATAATTTTTTTTTCCTTGGGATGAGAGAAGAGAGTATGTCTCTTCTCTTATCCTGAACATTAATAAAGGTGCATATAAATACAAGACTGAAAATTTAAAAGAACAAACATTTATTACAAAACATTAAAAAACCATATGAAATACATTTTAAAAATGGGCTTGCACAAAAATTTCCTTGTGTGTGCCTTATAAATAAGGCATGATAACAGATCAAAAAATATGTGATTTTAAATGATTTCAAATAATCTTTGAAAAATGAGGAGAAAAATTTGAGAAGGTAATACAAAATTTGGATGAAGCAGAAGATACTTGTTGAAAAAAAAAAAAAAGTAGTGCACCCACCTAATAGAAACACACAAAAAAATCACAGAATAAAGGGAGCTTTGGCAATTTCAAACCACCAGTGTCAAGGGGATATTTTATAATTCATAGAACACAATTCTATTAACAGGATTTTGTTCCTTTTTATTTATGCTTCACAGGTGGTAGCCAAAAATTGATTTTACCTTTTGGGCCATTATTCTGCTTTCAGGTTCAATTTTTGTGCCACTACTTAAAAAATTTGATCTTCTTCCATGGAAATTTGATTACCTCCTTCTTTGAATTTTGAATAACTTCTGAAGCTTATCTTC